ATAACACTAAACTGATGAGCGGTAAAAGCTTTTTAAGCGTCGCTAATGGCCAATTTTGGGTATGATAGTTTTTTTGCGATTTTGCGGGCGCACGCAATTTTAAGGCTTGACATGTTTGGTGTCTATTTACCCGACGTTACAATCCATGTACTGGCTTAAGCAGGGGGACGTAGGAGAGCTCAGCCTCCTGTGACAGCGCTGTCTCCGCCCCCACACCGCTCTGCCGGACTGTGATAGGCGGCTGAGCGTTGTGGGAGGAGAGACGCCGGCTGCTCACAGCGCTCTTGTCCTGCAGGGCTCGGCCGGCTGTCACTTTCTTTTCTCCCCGCTGGAACAGGGCCCAGAGGGCAGAATAGAAACCAGGGATGCGCCGATGTATCGGCCGAAACATGGCTCTTTTTTCCCCCCCAGTTTTGACTGTGGTATCTTATGTGCCCCCCCTATATATTGTTCCTAGAGTCGCCACTGCACAGGGACCATGGGGACGAAAAGTAGCCCCCCTCCAGAAGGAAGGAAGAAAGGTGTCAGCAACAACTATTCTCATCATTGTATCTTGTTTGTTTAAGCATATTTGCATTTTTGCTGTTGATAATTGGGGTCTCGGAGGTCGCTGACATCTGTGTCAGAAATCTCCTTGCAGACCTGCACATCTTTCTTCTCTCTGTACAGACTAAAGATGTTGAAGAATCTTCTCATCATTGGGCAAATAATTGCTGAACTTACCTGCTCGCGTCCACATTGTTGCTACATAACATCAGCAATCCAGTAAATTTGAGGCTACAACCAGAGGGAGGTCAAAGCTGAGACACACGACTGCTCCACAATTCATTGGAAGAACCTAGAACTAGGTCATTGTTGGGTATCTATTGGCCATCCACATCTGATGTCTCCCAGCGGTGATTTCAGCAAATAATGTGGAATTGTTCAAGAAACTTTTGGACGATTTCTTAAGGGACCGTAATATACAGGGGTACGGGTACTCCTAGAATGAGATCCTAATAGGTTGGACTTGATGGACTAATGTCTTTATTCAACCTCAAATACTATGTAACTGTGTAAGATGCCTGGTCTCCTACCATGCATGCCAAGCTGGCCATAATACTACTGTGGCAGCAGACAAAATGGCCCACGGTTTAAATCATTTGTTTTTTTGTATCTACACATATGATCCTTTGACTTCTGTCCTACAGAAAATGCTGATGGCAGAATCTTGTGACTTAGGTCCCCCTCCCCCTTCTCTCAAAACTGTAATAGTAATCAGTCATGAGTTTATGACAAAAGGTTGTGACAGGATACATAAGCCATAAATGGTAAAATTGCAAATGCTGATTGCCTTAGAGCTGTATAAGGAATAAGACGTATAGGAAATATGTGTATTGGAAATGTGTCATGTGACGTAATTGTTGTTATATATATTTTGTGACCAGCCCTTAAGGGGCACCCAGGATTTTGGAGACAGAAGTCCCCTGGGTCAAAAATCTGCGCAGAGAATAAAGAAGATTTGTATTCCTGAAGTCTGTGTCCGGAGTCCATTGCTGGTTTCCCAAAAGGTATTTCCCGCTACACTACGAGTGACTGGTGTTCCTTACATTCAGTAAAACTCAGTCATGCTGAAAAGCGGTGCATGTCTGGACACAGCTGAAGAACTCTGCTTCAGAGAGTCAAATGCTATGGCCCATTTCAGGTGAGCGGTGCGATTAGAACCGTCTGTTAGTATTTGAGGGAGACCCGATTGGATGCCCCAATGTAAGTCTATGGATCCATGCACAGATCCCCTCCTGACCGGACAGTGTGAAAGGGGCCTAAGGGGTGTATTTGTGAACAATTTGCCATTTGCCCTAATTGTGTACATTTGTTCTGTTCAAATGGAGCAAAATCAAATATTATTAGCAATAGGGATGGGCTCACATTTGGACTGTACCCAGTCTGAATCTGAGCTCCTCTAGTGTTTAGAGGAGTTCAGGTTCGGACGGGTACACTCCCAGGAAGGATGGAAGCTCTTTACACTGCTGTCCAATCAGCTGTGGATGATAATTTCCCGCATGCAGCTACACGTAAGCAAACCCCCTCTTGGCCACAGCTCATTGGACAGCAGCGGAAAGAGCTTATTCATTCATCGACCTTATATGGTCACGTGGCTATATTTGGTCAATGACATTCATTTAATACGGCCGTGTGACCAAAGAAGGCCAATGTCATCAGCACAGGCTTCCTGTCCCTTTGTTTATACTCATCTGTGGGGTGAGGAATATTCTGGCCTGCAGCAGATTACGCTGGTGGCCCCATGGTACTTCCGGGTTCAGTGGAGTTCAGGTCCAGAGCAGGTTTGAACCTGAGCTCATCTCAATTTGGCATATTTTCTTTCCAAGTTAAATGTCATATCAGGAGAATACTGAATTACAGCCACTAGATGGAGCTGAGGAGCATAGGAAAATCAGGCCAGAAATTAGATCAGGATTATAATGCCTGCCAGGTAGATTCAACCCTCTTTTTGCCCCAGTGAGCTTTGTCATCAAGAGAGAAAGTAATGTATTCTGACTACGATTGTTGTGCTAGTGACTTATCCCTTGCTGAGACCTCTATGCCTGGCTTGTATAAGCAGATACAATCACTGAGGACAATCATTGTCAGATAGCTGAACTCACCAATACCTTTTCATCCACAAGGGTTGCTTTATTCTGTACATCAGACAACAGGATAACAGCAGGTAAATGATTGCGGTGTTATGCGGTCAAAAGACGATACTTTCGTAGCGTACTATGCAGAGTACATGTGTCCCTGTTACATGTGGCCTGTTAGCTGCATCCATGACACAGGAAGTACTATACCCAAGAAGTAGGGTGGAGCATTAGATTCAAAGGAATCGTGTCATATATCAGGAAAAGGAACATAGAAAACAAGTAGATTACCACAAAGGGTCACTAGACGGCAGCATGTGAACTAAATATAAAACAGCCATAGAAAAATGATTCTAAGGAAATAACTATATAAATTCTTATCTACTAAACTTCTATTCCACATTGGGGTGGCACATAATGAGAAATCCAAAGTTGGTTTCAGTTGTCACCAGAAGAAGGGTAAGAGTAAATCCTTCAATGGGGACACCGATTCTGGTGACAACTGTCTAAAAGGAGACACAGATAGCAAAATAAAAAATAACCGACAGGGTTTTAACCCCTCCTGACTCCATCCAAGACTACAAACAAGTTTGGGCTATACATACACGTTATATATATATAATTTTATTTCTCCATTGTAGGATGAAAACATCATCAAAATCATCTGAATATTATATTATTATGAATCACAAAAGAAAACGAAATCACCAGAAGCAATTCTTTAACAGATAACGCCATCCAAAAATAATGGTTTCATTTTGGGAGGACACAGGAGGGTTCCCGCAATTGGCAGACACTTTCTACTGATGTTTCCTAAAGAGAAGTTCTACCTTTCCTTCACTTACATCCTGTCCCCACCGATCTTCTCAATGGTTAAAAGACAAAGGTACCGAAATTAATGTTGTCACTCTAAATTGTCTCCACTTCCCCAAGTCAGAACATTTTTTTATGTAGCTGGAGGACGGGGTGATTGAGCACATAATGGAGAAGCAGAGAAAAGGGGCTCAAACCCTTTACCCCATCTCCATAGAGGTCAGAGACAACGTAATCCTCTTTGATAAGCAGGGTCATCCCTACAATGAGGCAGCCTGAGGCTTTTGCTGGGGGCGGCCGTGTGGTGGGTGGCGTGGCAGGGGTCGGCCACAGCATCCCAGGTTCCTAGGAGTTCTTAGCAATCTGTGGCACTCTGTGCAGGTTCCCACCCAGCTCATTGACATCAGTTGCCAGGAGCTGAGCAGGAAGCACTGGCTTGCATCCCACTGAGCTCCTGGCAACCACTGACAGATCAGTGAGCTCGGTGGGACGCCAGACAGAGATTCCTGCTCAGCTCCTGGCAACTGGTGACGTCAATGAGCTGGAAAGCAAGCTGGGTGGGAAGTCCGGTGTCTGCACCACCCCTTGCCCCAAACCTGCCACTCACCCCCCCAAGTTCCATGCTGTTTGGGTTTTGTCCTTAGGACTGCATGTGGCACTAGGCACAACATTTGAATTGGCATGGTAACCCTTGTCTCAGTTGTGGGCAGGGCACAACATTCATTTTCGGGAGGGATCACAAACTAATGCCTCCCCATGATGCCAACCTTGAACTATAGCCAATTTTGGGCAGAAGCTCAGTAGAATATTGGTAGTTTTTAAGATTATAGGAGAAAACTGGTACCCCCATCACACAAAAACGAGGAGAAAACAGATTCTTGGTGGGAATTGTATTCAGGACCCCAGCTAAAAGTATAAAACTATAGAGCATCCATGCTGGATGGGAATGTCATTGATAGCATTGTAACAATCGTACTGTCAGATGGTGGAGGTCCCATGGGGTAAAACCCAACTGAACAGTATGGTGGCCTTGGCACTCTTGTATTGTATTGAACATGTTAAGCAAGCTATAATTTTAATTTAAACTAAAGCGGTGTGCAAAACTATAACATGGAGAGTAGGCATCATGAAGTGCAAGATTGTGACAGGTTATTACAGCCAACCTGATAAGAGACCCACCGAGGGCCCAAGAAATGTCTCATCTTTCTGGGATATAGGAGAATAATGCAATGCTCATGACCTGAATAAGTGATCATTAGGCCCAAGTGCTCTAATGTGTTCAGTTGCTTTGAAAGCAATTTGGTTATGGCACAAAGGGTCCAATCTGGAAACTTACAGTACCTACTAATTACTTTTCTTGATAAATACTTTTTACTACACTGAGAAGTGTGGTGGACCCAAGGCCTCTGAGGGAAGATACCCCCACTGAGATTGTTGAGAGCCTGCAGTAGTGAACGCCTGCGTTTGCCTTCCTGTATCCACCCAAAATGTGCTAGATTGTTGCTTAACTTTTATTCATTTTTGATCGTGATCATTTTTAGCAGGCAGAACATTCTGTTACAGGTGTACCATAGATCTGAACTTCACAAAATGTGAGATATGCTGTTTTCCCAGGTAGGACAATGTTCACATATTGGCCTTTCATATCGAAGCACTGGAAAGTCAGAGTGGTACCCAGTGGTATTGCTGTGATCTGAGCACATCTGGAAAAAATAATAATCAGTAAACAGATATTTGTTGCATCAAGAAGGGAAGAGAGAGATGAGGGGAAAGGAAGAAAAGTTGGCGATAGATGTGGAAAAGGAGATGAGAAAGGGAAGAGTACAGAAAAGAAAGACTAGAAAAAAGAAAAGGAGAAGAAGGCTTTGTTTGCATTAGGAAGGGAAGGGACTGAAGAATTCTAGGAAAAAAAAAAGTAGAAGAAAAAGAAGGATATGGAAGTGAAGAGGAATGACTAAGACTAAGAAGAAAAAAAAATATGAAAAAGAAGACTATGAAAGAGTAAAGGGGACACACACACACACACAACAACTGGAATAAGAGACGTAGTAGAAGGAGGATATCAAAGAGTAGAGGAGGAGGCAAAACAAGAATAGGTAAAAGGGAAGTGGAAGAAGAAGGATATGAATAAGGAATGGTTTTGAAAGAGCGAAAGTAGAAGAAGGATATGGAATATAGGGGACAGAAGAAGCTAAGAAAGAAGAAACATAGAATCTGAAAGGGAAGAGACAAAACAAAGAAAATAACAAAGAAAGAAGCGCTACTACCCACAGATTATAATTGCATAATTGATAAATTGGATTAAGTGTAATTCATAAAGGACATGTATGATGAAGAGTGGTAAGTGAGACAAGCTGTTCTTGTTGTCTCCCTTCTGGCTTGACAAAGAGGCACTGCCTCGAAACGCGTAGCCGCCTGACACTTCTCACTACCCAGCGAGACGGATCCTACAGCCATCCAGCTCCGTGCTCGCTCCCTCACGAACATTCACCATCCACTGCCTATTGACAGCGCGGCAGAGTGGCTTCCCCGACCTTTTTTACGCACAGCCGCCAGGGCTCAGCCTGGCCAGCTGAGTCTTGACAGCACCTGACACTACCAACACATTCAGTGCCTAGCCTGTTCCCAGCTGCGGCCGCCTGACGCTGTCTCCAGCCAGCGACTCCTCTCCTCGCACTCAGATTTCAGAGCAGATCTCCTCCATCGGTTGGCGCTACCATTCATTCTTTCATCACCGATTACCTACTCACCTACCACCTCCATCTAACAGTGAGTCACTTTCCACTCTACTTCATACATGTCCTTTATGAATTACACTTCATCCAACTTTGTCAATTATGAATTATAATCTGTGGGTAGTAGCGCTTCTTTCTTTGTTATTTTCTTTGTTTATTCTGCACACAGGGCTCCTCTCCTTGTTTAAGGAGCCAGCACACCCTATCCTATTACCACATACACTGAGTGGTCAGATTATTATGCCTACAAACATCAGGTGGTCATAATAATCTGGCCACTCAGTGTATATCTATTTCCATAGTAGCGTGCTTACTACATTTTCCATTTTTTACAAGAGACAAAACAAGACTAGGAAAAGGAAAAGAAGAGGGATATGGAAGAGGAGGATAGAAGAGGAAGAGGCAAGACAGACATATGGGAAGAGCAGTAGAAAGGAAAGAATGGAGAATGAAGTGGTAAAAAGAAATGAGAAATGAAAAGTAGGAGGGGTCTTGGGGAGGTGAAAGCTCACCTTGCATTATTGTTCCCGTTGTTGGTTAGTGAACCTCCAATAAGAATTTCTGCTCCATTAATGTACTCTGCACAGCAGTCACCTCTGTTGGTGATCGTTATGTGGGATATTTTATAGCTTGCCAATAAATCCAATCTCCACCAGGGTGACGCCTCATATTTACTAGAGAAGCAAGACCTGTAGGCGTAGATGGGATCCGAATTTCCATCTATAGCATTCATTCCCAAGCTTAAAAATTCTAAACTTGAGGACTGGGTTGCTCGGCCCTGAAGGGCGAGATTATCTGATTGAAAAGAGAATAATGTATCATAGAGAATCCAGGCATTGGTATGAATGTTTGGGTGGTCTTACTGCTAAAATACAGCTAAGATCATTTCAACTGACCATTAATCATCGTTTCACTACGTCAATAAAAGTCAATGAAGGTGTTACTGGATAAGGATCCTTCAAGAAGGTGTGCTGGTGACATATTTTACTTCTGAGTGGTGACACAAGGACGTAAATATTCACAGGGCTCAGTGAAATGGTGTCAGTGCATTGAGGAAGTCCCTCCTATGGGCATCTTCATTGAGTAAGTTTACAGACGTCTAGAGGGATATGGTTATTAGGAGCGGGATAGAACTTATGGAAATTCCATATAGAAACACAGATTTACTTTTAATTTTTGAACATAGAGGCCCTTTATGTGCAATCAGTTTTAGTTTTTTTTATTGGAAGAACGGTCCAGAGGCCTTGCGGCTCTTAGAAGGACAGAGAGGACGCTCTTAGACCCAAATAAAATCTTTGCACAGAAAGAATGGAAGAAGGGATGACTTGTAACCAGAAACCACAGCAGAACCACCAGTGTGAGTGTCCAGCTGGAGTGGAGCTGAGGGTTCGGTGTGTGATACCAGGGCCATCCATGTGATGAGGCAGCCTGATGGGGTTGCCTCAGGCGGCATCTCATTTCGTCATGTGCCGCTCCCTTTCCGGTCACAGCGCCCCAGGTTGCTAAGAGATCTAAGTGGTTGTTTTTTATGTTTATTTAAGTTACCTTAGTAAGTGTTTTCCTATAGGCTCCCAGCAGGGCCGGCCTTAGGCCTTTAGGCGCCCTGTGCGAGAAAGCTTTACAGCGCCCCTCAGTGGCCACACCCTTTAGTGGCCACGCCCCCGTAACCACACCCATTTCCCCCAATATATGCACCATTTAAAGACTCCTATTTTGTTAAGCCGCAAAGAAACATATTAAAAAGTGTGATAAAAATAAAACTTTTATTCAAAGGTATTAAACTTGTAGGCACAATAGAAGTATTCTTATCAAATAAAACAACAGAAGGTAAACAATAAATGTCAGACTACAATAGAGTCTATAAAAATAAAGTGTCAGGTCGTCATGCTGACCCCTTTTTTCAAGTAAGTGCATCTAGAAAAGTAAAAATAAAAAACAGAACACAGACCCCGGGCTACATGTAAATGAAGCCAGGGGTCTGTATTGTATTCAGACACATAATAATAATATTTTTTTCGAGGGAGCGCTGTCATATCGGATGGCCAGCGGTGAGGGGGAGAGAAGCCGCCCACAGGACGAGCTGTGACGGCCGCACGGCGCCTTTGTTGCCATGGCGCCCTGTGCGGCCGCACGGCTCGCACACCCCTAAGGCCGGCCCTGGCTCCCAGTGGACATGTGTGGTTACCTACCTGCTTGTAACAGGATATGAGGGGACATATAGGCCACCTATACTTATGTTGAAAGTCATTTGGGCTGGTACTGGCATAGCATTGACTATGGTTATAGCAACCCATATATGTAAAGGGCTGGTACCTTCTTGGGGAAGGGGGGAGTCATAGCAATTGTATGATGTATGGGGTCCCTATATTATTTTTCAACCATCTCAATGTAGTTAATCATCATTTCTTTTTTTTTTTTACCTTTTTTTAAGCAGACAAATTGTTCCTCGTTAGGTACAGGTGTTCCAAAAACTTGAATTTCACAAAATGTGAGATATCCTGTTTTTCCACGCAGTATTACATTCACATATCGGCCCTTCATGTTAGGACAATAGAAGGTGCTAGTGCCACCCAGTTGTATAGAACCGATCTGAGCACATCTGCATACAATGAAATGAAAAAACATTGGATTAAACAAGGGAAAGTAGAAAGAGAGAAGGAGAGCAGAGAATGAAAGCAGGAGAAGAAGAAGGAGTTGAAGGAAGAGGAGGAGGAGAAGGTGAATAGGCAAGGAAAGGAGAAGGAGATAGAGGAGGAGAAAGAGAGAGAGGAGAAGGATGTAGAGGAGGAAGAGGGGGTGAAAAAGTGGAGAAAGAAGGGAGAAGGAGGAAAAGGGAGAGAAGAAAGAAAAGGAGGAAGAGGGGAAGGAGGAAGAGGGAGGGGAGAAGGAAGTAGAGGAGAAAGAGAGGAGGATAAGGAGGTCAAAGAGGAAGAGAAGGAGGAGGTACAGGAGGAAGAGGGGGATAAAAAAGTGGAGAAAGAGGGGAGAAGAAGGAGGTAAATTACGAAAAGGGAGAGAAGAAAGAAGAGGGGGAGGAGGATAAGGGAGGGGAGAAGGAAGTAGAAGAGAAAGAGGAGAGGATAAGGAGATCAAGGAGGAAGAGGGGGGGAGCAAGAGGTAGAGGAGGAAAAGGGGGAGGAAATAGAAGTAAAGCAGGAGGAAGGGAGGAGAAGGGGGTAGAGGAGGAAGAGGGAGAGGAGAAGGAAGTAGAGGGGAAAGAGGATTAAAATGAGCAGCAGGAAGAGAAAGAGATGTGGATAGGTAGGAGGAAGGGAAGGGCAAAAAGGTGAAGGAGGAAAAGTAGAGTAGGAATTGGAGTAGAAGGAGGGAGAAGATTTAGGGGTTGAGTAAGAAGGGTTTTGGAGAGGAATACGTTCACCTTGGATTATTGTTGCCATTGTTGGCCAAGGAGTCCCCAACAAGTATTTCTACTCCATTAATGTTCGCAGCACAGCAGTCTCCTCGGTTAGTGACCATAATGTGGGATATATTATATGTTTCTAACAAATCCACTCTCCACCAGGGTGAAAGCTGGCTGACACTAGAGAAGCAAGACCCCTGGTTATAGTTTGATTCCGTATTTCCGTCTATGGCGTTCATTGCAGAGCTCAAAGCGTTGTAATTAGTAGACTGAGTCGCACGGCCCTGAAGGGCGAGATTTTTATCTGGTAAAAAAGAGAACATAAAGTCATCATCCAAAATACTACGTATGGTGCTTGTATTTATTCTGTTTTTTTACAGGATCTATAAACTAAATGATAATAAACTTTTAAAAATAGATGCATAAGTATTATCAATTTACATTAAATAAGATGTACCCCAAGCCAACACTGTCTAATATATAGTGGGGTACGTTTAGAACCTCTGATTTACTAAAGGAGTAGAGTGTGCTCACTTTGCAAAGTGAATGTTTACTTAGCTTAGTTAATGAGGTGAGGTCATGCTGACGTCAATCATCCAATCATATGCACCTTTCCTTGCACATGATTGGGTATCCTTTTCAAAGCAATTAGCCACTTAGCTTCACTTCATTTACTAAGCTAAATGAAAATTCAATTTCCAAAGTGAATATTCTCCACACTAGGGATTCACCAATACCACTTTTTTAAGACCGAGTACGAGTACCGATACTTTTGATCAAGTACTCGCAGATACCAATTACCGATACTTTTTCTTAAAGGGATAGGTCACATTTTTTCTAAAGCAATACAAACTAATGCTTTAAGGTCCCTTTTTTAATATTATGATTCATGAGATGACGAGGGAGCATGACGCCGGCTTCCCGGCCAATCAGAATGCCGGGTGCTGTGTCATTACACGGTGCCCGTCTTCCGGATTTGCTAGCTTCCTGACCAATCTGGAAGCGCGCAGCGCGTCATTGCACGCTACCCGGCTTCCTGATTGGCCAGGAAGTCGGCTCCATGCTCTCTCATCACAAGTGACGAGAGAGCATGGAGCCGTTTCCTGGCCAATCAGGAAACCGGGCAGCGTGTAATGATGTGCTGCCTGGCTTCCTGATACAGGAAGTACTCGTGCTAGGTATCGGAGCATTTGGGTGAGTATGAGTACTCACCCAAATACTCAGTATCGGCACCGATACCGATACTGGTATCGGTGCATCCCTACTCCACACCATTGATACATAGTTACATAGTCTGTAAGGTTGAATAAAGACCAAGGCCCATCCAGTCCAACCTAGGTATGTGAGTGTGTGTGTATTTTTCTGGCTTTACAACTTCCCATATCCCTGTAGATTCTGCGAGAGAAGAAACTCATCCAGAAGTTTCTCGAATGTATCAATGTTATCCGCAGATACCACCACCGCCTGCGGGAGGGAATTCCAAACTTTCACTACTCTCAAAGTGAAATATCCCTTGCGAATTCTACGATTGAACCCCTTCTCTTCTAACCTCTTGTTGTGTCCCCGGGTTCTCAATACAGTTTTGGGATAAAACAGTTTATTCCTAATATTGGGGTCCCCATTGATGATTTTGAATACATCAACCCCTATGTCTCTATTTGAGATTCTTCAATTTTCTAAACATTCCAGTATAGGTAATCCTTAATTCTGACCTTCATTAAACTGGACCTGAATCTCAATCCAAAATGCTATCTGTGCATATGCAGTATCCTGAATTCCTTCCCTTGCATAGGCATTCCTGTTCTGTATCCTCATAGCTGTATACCTGCAGTGCGAGATCTAAGGCACCGCTGCCTCTGCCTGCTGGTCATTGGACATTTGGAATGAGATTTGGTGATGTCACCACTCTGCTGATCACTGTTCTCCTTGCTGGAGTGTAAGCTGTACTAGGGAACCTCCAGCGCAAAGATCTCTCTGCTTCATTCATTCTGTGGATCTGTGGTTTCTGAAGCTCTCCTGATGCTGTTTGATTATTGCTTCATTAGGGAGGCAGCTCTGATATGAGGAAAGTTCTGTCTCTATCCAAGATAGCCACCTCCACACAGAGACATGGTGCAGAGCAATACTATATTAAAGGGTGAGAGCTCCACAGGTTTGTATCAAGCCCACTAAAGGTTTATTTATAGTGAGGCCAGGTTTGAGGATAACGGCCGACATGTTTGGAGGGCTCACAACTCCCCCTCCATCAAGGCTTGAGTGCTGGAAGCTATTTGTCTATACTGGAGAGCGAGAGGTACAAACAAGTAATAGAGAGGTTGCAGGTAGCCAGTCTGACTGTCTCTCCGGGGGAGATTCAGCCTTCCTATGCCAAAACCATGTCAAAAAAGAAAAGAAAACATAGAGAATAATATTCATCTCGCCCAAAGGTGAGGGACATTAGGCAGCAACTTACTTGCAGAACTTTCACTCTCAGTCACAGGTACTCCGAGGATCTGAATTTCACACAATGTGAGATACCCTGTTTTTCCCCGCAGTAAGACATTCACGTATCGTCCCCTCATATTAGAGCAATGAAAGGTCCCAGTAGCACCCAGATGTATTGATGAAACTGTGGAACATCTGAACCCACACAAAAGCATTACAAGAAATGTGAAGATTAAAAGTTTGTTGCTCATGTTTTATATCTCAAAGAGCCAACAGAAACTGTATGCAGAACAATAGGAGAAGGATTGTGAATGTTTTTTGCACAGATTATTTAGTATTCGTTCCAATGTTTGGATTATAAAGAGGTTTTGTCATAGGATGTTGTTAAATAGAAGTTAACCACAGCTGATTATGCACAGCCCCATTGGATGAGGTGGAATTTATGTAAGCTACAGTACCTGTGACTGTGACTAAGCACCTGTGTGCATGAAACATGTCAGAGGTTTTAGTGCATCTTATGTGTTATGCTTTTATGAAAGAATAAAGAAAGAGTTCATACGTAGCTCTGTGCAGTCATCCAACTGTCCTGTATAGAAACAAACATAGTAGTAGAGCAGGTAGGTTGAGAGTATGAAGAAGATGAAGGGCAAGTTGGAAAGCAAAGTAGAAGATTGGATGGCAAGGATGAGAAAAGAGGTCAGATAGAGATATGGGAAGGAGAAGAAAGGAGGTCAGAGAACAAGAGTAGAGAAAGAGGGGGTAAGGTGGGAACAGAAGTAGAGGAAAGTAATTTAGGGGATGAGTGTAGAGAAAGGGGGTAGGAGGGAACAGAAAAAGAGGAAATAAGGGTGGGGGATGAGTGAAGAGGGGGTAAGGTGGGAAACAAGAGGAAAGGAAGGCAAGGGATGAAATAAGAGGGTAATATGAAGATAAGTAAAGGAAAGGAAGTAGGGAAGGAAACAAGGGCAGCAGATGAGAGGAGGGAAAAGGGGGGTAAGGTAGGAAGAGAAGTAGGACAAAGGATGAATGAAAAGGAAGAGGTGGTAAAGTGGGAAATAATGAGAGGAAAGGGGGGCAGGATTGAGAAAAGAGGGTGCAAGAGGGGAAGGGAAGAACAGGAAAGCAGGGCAAGGCATGAGAGAAAGAGTAGGCAAGGTGGAATGGGAAGGAAAGGAAAGAACACAGGGGATACGAGGAAGGAAAAATATGGTAAGGAGGAACGAGAAGAAGCAATATAGGAATGGAAAGAGAAGATAGAAGGTCAGGGATAAGAGGAGAAGAAGAAGGGACAAGGTCAGAAGGGAAGGAAAAGACTGCATAGCATGGAGGAGAGAAAGAGGGGGTAAAATAAAAAGGGAGGGAGAGGGGAAAAAAAGCAGTGATGAAAGGGGAGAGCTGGCATTGAGAGAAGATGAGGAACGGAGGACAGTGGATGAGAAAAACAGAAGAGAAGAAGAAGGAAGGAATGGGAAAGGTGGAGAAAGATAAAGACAGCAAGAATAAAAAGAGGAACAACGAAATAAAGGGGAACAATAATAAGAGGTGATTGAGGAGAATGAGAGAAGGGTGGTAGCAAGTAGAAAGAATGAAGAGGAGAAAGCAAGAGAAGAGGAAAGAGGAGAGATGATTGAGAAGGAGATTGAGAGACATGGACAATAAAAGAGAAGGAAAAAAAGACAAAGGAAGAAAAGGGAAGGAACAGGAGGAGAGTAAATGGACAAAGAGAGGAGATCGATGAAGAGAGAGGAGACAGAAAGAGGAAGGCAGATGAAAGAAGGAGGAGAGGATACATGAATAGATGGAGAAGGACAGACAGGTAAGAGACAGGAGGAAAGGGGAATGCAAAGAGAAGAGGAAAAGAAGCCGAGAAGAAGAGAAAGAGAAGAAGACAAGAGGAAGGAAAAGGAAGAGGGGAATAGTGGAAGAGTTTGAATATTACATTCACCTTGAATTATTATTGCCGTTGTTGTACAGTGAGTCTCCAACAAGAATTTCTGCTCCATCGATATAATTTGCACAGCAGTCACCCCTGTTGGTGATCATTATGTGGGATATTTTATGAGTTCTCAATAAATCCACTCTCAGCCAGGGTGACAACTCGTACTTAGTAGAGAAGCAGGACCCTTTACCAAAAACTGGATCCAGGTTTCCATCAATGGCATTTATTGTCGAGCTTAAAGAATCAGTAGAAGATTGAGTAGAACGGCTCTGAAGGGCGACATTTTTATCTGGTTGGACATAGAAAAGTAACCCAATAAGATTTGCCAGACAATATAATATATTCTTCTGTATTGTACTGCTGATTTAAAGTGTTTAGAAATAATACTAAATAGCATGTAAATGAAATACAAGCATTCACAAATATTACTGCAGTCTGTGCCCCTGCAGGGATCTATCCCCTTTATTGGTCCTGGTGATCACTGTCACTGGGGCAGTTGTCTTCACAGGAGCTAAATAGCTTTACTATTCGTGATCAGCAAAGACGCATTACATTTCTGGAGGCCAGATCACCTTTCGAGAACAAGTCATCACGTTTGCACGAAACTACATCCTGCTTTTCTATTTCCTCCAAGTGCTCTAAGGGTTTCTTTAGATTACTAAGGCCGCACTCATGCCGATCACTGCTAAGATCCTGCCCTCCGCCATCATTACTGAGTAGTCAACACATAACAGCTCATGCTGAAGCAGAAGCAGCAAAGGCGGAAGCTTATTGCACTGAGAGGACAAGGGCCACTGAAACACAAGCTGCCGAGGCAAAAGCCAACCAAGCACAAGGCGGTAGCCCAGATAAATGTCCTCCTAAAGAAAAGAAAGAAAGCAGCAACCATAACTAAGCTCAGAGTCTTCAAAGAAGTGCATTGTCCTTTTTTGACAGCCTCTGATGACCCTGCAAGACAGACTTTGCAATGTGTCCTAAGCCAGAACAACAACAATACAATTGCACAGGATGCCTCAAATAATTTGCACCAAACCAGGGTACATTTGCCAGCAGAAGAGCTGCACCACTCAATTACATGGACCATGAAGGCACATTGAAGTGACTTAAGACATCGCTGACCCTCTCAAGCTCTTAAGCTCTTACTGCCATATTGTCCCAAAACATCCTGGGACCAGTCACACACCTTCCGAGACCCACAAGCAAAGACCACCAGTCGCCTATCCTCCACCTGGACTGAACTCGTCTACTACTACATTTTCCCCTTCAACACCTAGGCATCAGGTACGAGATACTGCCCTCTCTAGCAGGGGCGTCCTGAGGTGTCACTCGGAGCAGAGAGCGAGTGCCACCCCAGCAGTGACGTCATCATACATGCACGGCTGTCTAATTGACGCCTGCCAGCGGCCATCTTGGTGATGGATGCCGGTAGAGAGAGGAGGGGACGTTCACCCGGCGGGATGAGATATGCTGCCGGGTCCCTTCCTCTCTCCTGACACTGTCGGGCTCTCGGTCCATGACCGAGTGGCTGACTTTTTTGAAGGGGTGACACCAAAATGACTGACAGTCACCCCTCCAATGGTGTCACCCCTCCAATGGTGTCACCCCTCCAATGGTGTCACCAGGGTGTGGGCCGCACCCCCCTTGTGACGCCACTGCTCTCTAGCCACAATGCAGGAGCACCTGTCGCTACAAAGCATGAGAGAGCAGATACGTCAGGCATTGCAAAGTACATGAGCTGCAGATAAGTTATTATGCTTTATTATTATTGCTTTATAAAGTGCACCACTGATCCAGAAAACTACCGGAGTCAGAACCTTCCTGAGGAATCTTGTGGGAAACTTTTCTAGATCACCAAACTATGGAGGAGAATGAGAAACTCCTGACCCCAGCCACTGATTGATCACTCAACCCTCTTGTAACCTGGCTGGCTATCCCTCCAGTCACTCCTGCTGGTGGGGAAGCATGGGGATGGCGATGAAAGGGAGGAGCAGCATGATGGGCTGTAGCGGATTGTGGGGGGCCCTGTCAGGTAATATGTGTTGGGGCCCATGATTGCTAATGGTGGTTCTGGCTCCATGTATTCTCTTATAAGGCCTGCCAAATTACACTATATTACCAAAAGTATTGGGACGCCTTTACACGCACATGAACTTTAATGGCATCCCAGTCTAAGTCCGTAGGGTTCAGTATTGGGCTGGCTCCACCCTTTGCCGCTATAACAGCTTCAACTCTTCTGGGAAGGCGTCCACAAGGTTTAGGAGTGTGTCTATGGGAATGTTGGACCATTTGTGAGGTCATGTACTGATGTTGGGGGAGAAGGCCGGGCTCGTAGTCTCCGCTCTAATTCATCCCAAAGGTGTTCTATGGGGTTGAGGTCAGGACTCTGTGCGGCCAGTCACGTTCCTCCCCCCCAAACTCCACCATCCATGTCTTTATGGACCTTGCTTTGTGCACTGGTGCGCAGTCATGTTGGGACAGGAAGGGGCCGTCCCCAAACTGTTTACACAAAGTTGGGAGCAGGAAATTGTCCAAAATGTCTTGGTGTGCTGATGTCTTAAGAGTTCCCTTCACTGGAACTAAGGGGCCAAGCCCAACCACTGAAAAACAAGTACAAGTACCGTTCTCCTGGCAACCGCCAAACCCAGACAACTCCATCGGATTGCCAGACAG